GGGATGTACGGGGGTAGGAAAAGGAATGGGGGACAAGAAGAGAAAACGAGAAATCCGGGGATGCGAAAAGAGAGAGAAAAGAGAAGAGCTCGAGCTTAACGTTGCTTTATCAACATTAAACCAACATTTATTATTACATACATTGGAAAGTTCACAGACGGGAATATACAGAAAAAGAGCATAAAAATAAGCAGTGAGGAACAATGTGAAATACATCGCGAGTCTCAGGTTGTGTTACAAAGATTTTCGCAGTTTTGTTGCTTTTTATAATAAATGATTCGAATATCTGCATTAATAATAAATAATAATCATTATAATCACACAAATTGGATCTATGAGGCATAAAAATAAGCAGTGAGGAACAATGTGAAATACATCGCGAGTCTCAGGTTGTGTTACAAAGATTTTCGCAGTTTTGTTGCTTTTTATAATAAATGATTCGAATATCTGTGTGTGCATTAATAATAAATAATAATCATTATAATCACACAAATTGTATCTATGAGAATCGTTTTCTAAGTTATTTAATGGAGCTCATTATGCAAATTCTTTAAACAATAATAAAATTTTTTTCTTTGTTGAAGTAATTTATTAATCGCGTTGTGTACTGTTAGTATACTTGATATATGCGGCATGTATGATTGCAAATGTATGTAAATGCAATTAAACAAGTGTCGCAATCACGGAGTATAAAGGCCAGCATAAAGCATGGATATATAAATTACGCGGTAGAGGCGCAAGAGTAAAGAAAAAGATGAATTAATGCGATATGTTAAGTTTGCTCCGCGTGCCGAACAACATTGTGTATGTGCAAATGTGTGTGCGAATATGTGTGGTACACTTCACGGGGCAGTAACTAACTCGTGACATTTATTTCAGTGGCTGTATAGTAATTTTATCCGTCTTTTTACTGCTCTCATTGCGCCCCGCTCTTTCCCATATTCCCTCAAGAACGGACTTATTTTTCGTCGCGCGTAGCGCGGTATAAATATTGACAAATATATGTTTCGTCTCTTCCGAGCATATTTAATTGTATGACAAACCCTCACCCGATGGTCACTTTCTTTGCAGAATATTTGCATTGTTGACTCGTCACGGTATATGAAAATATTAAATTTTAATACAATTTTTACATATTATATTATACATCCCGCATATATACTCGCGTGCAACTTTTTTCTCGTAATCGCTTCTTCTCTCGACGTACTCGCTATTTTAATTTCAAAAAGTAAATACTTGCGTGATGCGGTATACTTAACGAAAGAGTAAAATACGTAATA